AAATCCCCCCCCCCCCGTTAAAAAATAGGTTTAACTCATATCAAATCGAATTTTGTTCCACAACATAGACATGTCTTCCTCGGCAAAACCCTTCTCAGCGTTCAAAGGATTTGAAAGAAGTAATTCTTCAAAAACATCAATAACTTATAGAGCAAAATTCATTTTTTCATTGAGCAAATCTAACCTGAAACCTATAGAGGTTTACCAAGGGAAAACCGAAAATGAAAGAACAGAGGTGTATCAGAAGTATCACTAGAAAGCATACATATTCCATCAAGCTATAAAAGAAGCAAATAAAATTTTCAGGACTAATCGCTAGAAGATCCATCATCGTCTTCATGCGCTGCCACAACCTTCTCGAGAAACCTCTTCCTTACTCCATCCAGCACAGCTTCTCTGGACTGTTCCTGCCTGCTATACCCATCATTTAGAACAGGATCTGACTGGCACAGCGTCAATGCAACACCTGAAATAAAGGAAATGCAGATCAATCATTTCAACCCCAAAAAAGGCCAGCAGGAAGTAGCAAACATATTGTTAATACAATACTTAGCACCTGATCAAAATTCCAAAAGATTAAACTTAACAGCATAAAGAACTAGAGTTGCTATCAAGGTTTGCTGAGAATGGTTAGATGCACCAGGCGATATTTTCCAGAAAGAGGGCTGCGATTCAGGGTTTTCCCAAGGGCATAAATACCATCACATGATTCATTAAAATTACTGGTTAGGTCTCGCATGTACAAGATTAACAGCTACGTCACTTACTACAATTCAAGGACTTCTTCAAATACTAGCAGGCAAATCGAGGTAACAGGAGAAAACTTGCCAAAAGAATGACAAAACCTATGTAAAGGTTATGAAGGTCGATGGGCACAATTCCAACTTCTAGATCAACCCATGGTCACAACTCTGTTGAGATATTATAAATATCATGACAAGACAATGGGCCATGTTGTAGCAGTAAGACTGCAGCTTGCTTAACCTGATCAGCCAAAAGGCAATAATCTCTGACCATCCCATTATATCTTGTTATTTGTGGTTTTTTTTTTTTTTTTTTTTTTTTTTTTGGGGGGGGGGGTTGGGTTTACAACTCTCTAGCCTTCCAAGCTTATGCATAGTGTATCAAAAGAAATCAGGAAAATACTTGGAGGGTAATTAAAACAACAGTCAGCCCTTCTCTTACAACAATTAATAAAGAAACATGCAGTCCAACTTGAAAGATATATGCCTAACCCAAAAAATATCAGAACATGCCAAGTCTGAAATAGCTGGACTGTAAAAAGAGTTATAATAGCATTTCTTTTATGAATATTGGAACTAAACAAGTCCAAATAGGGCAACATGTACAGCAACAATTCATGTGCTGACACCAACTAGCTTGGGACTGAGGCATAATTTTTGTTATTATCGTCATCGTCTTGAATTCTAGCATAAAGGAAACTTCTAGTCCTCTTTATCCCCTTGCAATTAACATGATCCAGTACAAAAGATGGTCCGCGTGGTTTTTTCTTTATCTTTTTATTTTTAATAAATGTGGTGTCCAGACCAGCTTGCGCGCACCTTGACTAATTCCATGGGATACCTCCTACCTCCCACCAGCAACAAGTATCAAGTAACTCTATCCACCAAGGCTTGCACAGACAGGAAGAAATCACTTAGTGTTTTTTGCCTCCGCTGGGATTTGAACTTGAGACCTCATGTTTCTCAACCCACTTCATTGACCACTAGGCCACACCCTTGGGTGCATGGTTAGTGTGGTTATATTTTACTATCATGAGAAATACGCTGATAGCTACAAGCCTACAACACACTCTTGAAGTAATTTCAGTTATCATCTAATTTCAGTAGTAGCACCCACCCACAGCCCTTCTTGGTGCCACAGGACCAACTCCCACAAAAGAAGGATTAGGAATAGACCATGTTTGCAGCAACAACAAAATGGGAAAATAAAAGAAAGGCCCTGCTCAAGCTTTACAGCAATTATACAAGATCTTAATAGAAAATTCCCAGAAAAGAAGAAAAATTCTGTTAATTGCACAAGCAATGGTTTATAATATGGCTTTTACCGATATAGCGTCTGCATGAAAAGCCTACACAAAAATATTCATAGAGGAAGGTAGATGGCAGTGGGCACAACACTGTAAATGAATCCAGCAAATTACTACCGCTTGAAAGAGTACTAAAAGGAAGTTGGGCCAGAAAGTCAACGACTTCATTAAATCATGCAAAAAGAGAAAAAAAGAGAAAATGTTGGGGTAGCAACGAGACAACCACTATGACGAGCATACCTTCGGGTGTGCATCTCCGACCAAAACTATGAAGCCCAACATAATTTGATTTCAATGCACTGTTGTTGTACACCAAAACAGTTGGAAGATTACAATCTGGATAGTTCGGAATGCAATCTGTGGAGATAATTTTGACAAATTTTGTTGCAGGGTACTTTGTTGCCAATTCTTCTAAGCACTGCAAAAGTATCTGGCAGCCTGAGTATCTATAAAGAGCATAAAATTCTATCAGAAAGACTGGCATGGAGCTAAAAGAGAGAAAAGAGTACCATCTATGCATAAACATATTTGAAGCTCAAGAGGATGATGTAAGCTGGCTACGGTGATGAAGAGATGAGAGCATTACTTACCCATCCTTATACAGAAGAACAACCACCCAGATATCTTCTGGAGCTTGGGAAACCTCCCGCACAAAATCCGATCCAGAAATTGGGATCACTGATCCAAATCTCACAATCTTAGCAACTTCTCTCATCTCGGCCAACCTCTTCATCCTTTAACGACAACATAGGAAACACATACAAGAAACTCTCAACTTCATATCAGCTCTGAAGCTATATAGCAATATCTCATAATTACCATATCAGTGTAATTGCATGTGCACTTTTGCATTGTGTACGTAATAAGGAGTAAAACTGAATTTGACTAAGTTGAAACAGAGGCAACTAATTCTCAAGAGCACGTCAATCACTAACAAAACTATAATGCCAAAACAGCTTTTATACCATAGTTTCTTAAACAAGACCCAAGAAACTAATCCCAACCAAAAATGAGTGCAAGAAAATAACGCCACTTGGTTTGATAATCATAACACAATTCCATAATTCTCACTTCTTAGCTTTGGAAAAGAGTTTCTTTATTTGACTTGCATTCTGAACTTTTGTTTTATTCAACAAGGGACCAAATCAGCCAGACTTTAAAGGATGGATACAGGTGTAAAGGGTGGGGTATGAATAGATAACACAATATGCATTGAAACATATGGAGATACAAAGGAATGCAAGAATGTAACAACATAGAGTCGAGGGAAAATGAATAATTGGAGAACCTCTAAAGGATGACACTTTTGAAAATGAAAAGACCATTGGATGGAACTGTTAGTCGTCTGAGAGAATAGTGGTGGGTTGATTCGTAGCAGTACGTGTACATATAGAGGCTGAACAACTACTAGGCTTACCTCAAACAGAGTACCATGTTTTAGAGGTCCAACCGACTGCTTTGCAAAGGAAGTGGTACCCCATATATGTTTGTTTTTTCGTAAGTGCCCTATATTATATATGTCCATTAAGGCGGGGAACAAATGATATACAGTCCCATTACAAAAAGCAGCTCAAGAATAGGACATTAATCTATCATGTCTCTTTATTACATTTTGTTGTACAGTGAAGGCTTATATTGTAGTCCATGGACAATCCTCAAGTTAGTAAATTTCGTAACACTTTTTTTGCAGTTTTAGTTTACTTTAAACATGATTTTTACTTGAAAAATGATTAGGAAGAGAGAAGATCCCATACTACATTCCTCTTCAATTATGAAGCTACCATGAAGCCCTTTCACTGATAACAAGAAAAGAGAATGGAAAATAATTCAACTACTGCTGCGTTTTTTGTAAGAAAGCAAAGAAGGCAGCAAATAAAATTCTACTCCATTGTGAGTGCACGAAAGCATTCTAATATAGGCCTATTCTATTGGATCTTATTTGTTCGGCTGGCTTGAAATAGCTCCTTTGTCCTACACCTTGGTGGTACGGCTTGCACTCTGCCCTCTGTTTTTCAAAAAAAATGATCTTGGCAAGCTGTTGCATTGACAGAAACAAGACACCTAGAAGACAACTCTGAAATGCTTATTAGGTGATTTTTTATGGCAGTGACGTTCCAAAGGGGGAAATGTCACTCGAAAGGTTCAAACAATCACTGTATAACCTTAAACTGGTGACGCATGAACGAATATCCTATTTCCCAACTCAATCTATAGCTTAGGATGAGAAACTAGCACAGATGCTTCTTTTATTGATTACATCAGCTGCAAAGCTGCTAAGGCCACAGCTACTCATCCATCTACAGGCACATTTTGGTACTTAGCTTTTGTGATATAACAGACCACAGTTCGAACTAGGTAATAACTTGCGTTTTATAAATGACATTGAAGCTCCTGACATTTCAAAGGCTCTAATAAATCCTAAGGTTTGATTAGCCTGTGTCTGCTAAGAAAATCAGGAAAAGAAATGTAAAGAAACAATTTTTAAACACTAACAAACTCAATAAAAGAAGGATCTTGACTT